CCCCCTTCCCGACAGACACCCCCTCTCCGATTTTTTTTTTTTGAGGGGAAGGGGCGATTGTACACAGGCTATCTGGAACGGATAATCCCGTCTTCAAACTGTCCGTCGAAGTTGAAGGATAAAGTCAGGCGGATTGTTCATGCAAAATTAAAGACGTATTACCTATCTGACGCGAATCATCAAACGGATAACCCGTCTCACACGAATAATCCGTCTTTACTGTGAAAACGGCATTTCTGTTGTAATGAATGTCGCGCCCCGGCCTTGAGTTAGGCGTTCGCGTGTATGCTTTGCTTTTTCACAAAGATTATTTTTAAATTGGCTATTGACATTTTTATGTGTAAAATAATATTAGAAGTGGAATACTTCATAAAAAGTATGATGTATCAAATGTTAAAATTTTTCATAAGAATAGCTTATTTCATATCCCGAGATGATCCTAAGACCTTTATTTTGCTTTATAAGATACAAAAAATACAGGTTAATAAATATTTAACTTTTTGAAACAAAAGAAGTTAATTTTTTAACTTTTTGTTAACCGTAACTGAAAAAAATTAGCCGATAGCCGCAAAAGAGCCAAAATTTTAGCCGATAACCGTAAATGCCACCACCCCATTGAGACCCTCTTTTGCAACACTCTCGCTCTGTTGTAATACTGCTTAGATATTCACTAAGCCACCTATACTGGTAAAACAATAAAGAAATTTTCGGTGTAAATGATGTTGAATTCATAGTTTAAGTGTCGAACGTCTTGCTCACGAGCAAGATATGTGGTCAATACTCAGGAGAGTACTCTTGTATAATTTTAAAAGCCATACAATTATGTGCCGCCACAAAGGGTGTAGTTCTTGGCCCTTTTTGTTCTGAAAACGCTGGTATAAACGTAGATCATTTTGGTCTGGAATCGGGTTTGGTTTTCGAGGAACCTACTGGAGCGTATGCATGGCGTAGTTATTGTTTCAGTTCCATATGAATAAGAACGAAATAGAAATATGTGAACTCGAAATGCATTTGAAAAATTTTTTTGTTTGCGCTCTAATCTGAGTAATGATGACATAATTCCTGTTTAAAGGCCAGATCTAAAAACGGGTGCGGATTTTAGAGGACTGCATAGTCTGAAAGCGGGTGTGGAAAATTCAGTCTGAAATAGCACTGTCTGAATAAAATTGTTAGGGTGGCGTAAAATTTGAGATATTTTTTTAAATGCCTCTAGAGCCGGTTCGGTTAAGGAGTCTTAAGGCTTGCCGGGTTACTTGATAAAACCTTTGGTAACTTTGATAGGGTGGCAAGATTGAAAGTACGTTTATTGAACGGTCTCAGTTGGTTTAAAACCCGGGGGGGAGGGACTTCCTTATAAGAGGCTACTACGGATTTGCCACTGGTTAGGGCCGCATTTTCACGACTGGATTGACTCTAATGGGGTTTCATTTTTGATAGAATTACTAGAATGGGTCGCACATTTTCGGACTTTTTGTGGTAAGACAGTTCTTATTTACGGTTCGCAAACTTACCAGAATATTTGTTCTGTAGATGAAAAGTAAAGTGTTCTTCATACACTGTAAAAAATGGGTCAATTCATAAAAATAAAAAGTGACTAAGTTTGGATCGCGAAAAATTCATATTTGCCCAAAAGTGACTAAGATATAGGGTCTATAATTAATCACAGAATAGACTATAATGGGGCAGGGGTTCTTAGACGCCAGCGGCACATACCCAGCAAAAATTTACCCAAGTTCCCTTCCCCCGGGGTTTGAAATGTGCGCGTAGAACTATAAATCTAGAATGTCAGCTTAGCTTTCCCTTGGAAGCAACAAGGGAAGAGGCGTGAGGACAAATTAAAAAGTTGTTAACCTTGTTGTTGAACGCAACCTCCAAAACGTTAATTTTATTTTAGCAATGTCAACCTTAGCATTTATTCCGTTGATTTGTTCGTTATATTTTCTCCCTTATTTATTTTTAATATCAATCACTGGATATTAAAAAAATTCTTAATCTTACTTTACTGCAGTCAGCCCGTTATCAATAGAGGCATCAGCAACCATCCGGTTAAGGAAGCGAAGAAAAGTTTTGAACGACACTTCAACTGGCATCACCATCATGAAGTAAGAAAAGAAATCACAAAACAGTTTGAACAACTTATGCCCACCAAGTACTGTAAGTCAAGTGAGAAGGTATGTCCTGCAGGTCCCCCCGGATATCCTGGTCCCACTGGAGCGAGGGGACCACGTGGCAGGAGGGGACCAAAGGGAAAGAAAGGTCCTCAAGGTCCCATGGGACCACCTGGAAAATCCGGAAAAACAGGAATAACTGGTCCTGCAGGACCGAGAGGAGAAAAGGGAAGCAATGGGGAGGTAGGGGAACCTGGGCCAAAAGGCATGCCGGGATCACCTGGAAGGCCTGGAAAATCGATATCTGCTCCGCAAGTGATGTTGTCGCCGGCAGAGCAGACACGAGATGAGGAAGGAGATACAGCATTTTATTGCACGGTCGCTGGAAATCCTTCCCCAACCGTGGAATGGCAATTTAGGGGCAGAAAACTTCTGTCAGGTGCAAAGTATTTGATTAAAGAAGGAGAGCTGATCGTGAGAAATCTAAATTATAGCGATGCTGGGACGTACACATGTGCTGCCAGGAACATTCTTGGATTGTCCGAGGCTACTGGTAACTTGACTGTTCGAGGTAAGGACATAATTAAAACTTCCGAGATTTACACACCCAGCTGCTGATTGATCATTTTTATGCGTGTCTCCGTTGTGTAGGCTCACAAACGGCCGGGATTGCATCCTTCTCTTGTTTAACGGTTTTTCACTAGTTAATTGATTTCGTTTTGCGTTATTCATCCTTTTGTGTATTTCTGGTTTCACCGTTAAACTAGACCGGAAGCATGCTTCTGACTTAATATAGGGTAAAACTTCTGAAACTTTACATCGTGTAGAAGCTTTGTTTTCTAATAGTTCTTAGTAGTATCTATTCTTTGTTATACGGTTTGTACTTGTTTTCATTGTAAGGTTTTATGTTTTTTCCCTAGGTCTTCCAATGTTCACAAAAGTTCTACCACCACTTGCCACGCCAGTACAGCGCACTACCTTTCAGGTAGTTTGCCAAGCTGAAGGTTTCCCTCGTCCCGTGATAAACTGGAGTAGAGTGGGAATGTCTTTGCCAGGTGGAAGGACTGAAGTAAACCAAGGAACACTAACTATTAAGAACTTAAGTCCTGCTGACAGCGGTTTGTACGACTGTGTTGCTACTAACATTATGGGAACAAAGAAGGCCAGGATCAATGTGGCCGTTCAACGAAAGCCAGGTTTGCTCTATTTATTTGGTTTAGGTTGGTGGCAAACACCACTGTCAGCAAATGGTCATTTTCGTTTGCCCAGGGGTGAGTTTCTTGCAGCTATTGGAAAGACTGATATCATACAGTCAAACCTGTAAGCGAACCTGACTATAACTAATAAGCGGTCACTTATACCAAGGTCTCCGACATCATTTTCCTCAATTACTTTAAATCAAAACCGGATAAGCCGTCACCTTAGTCCAGAGCCGTAGCTAGCGGGGGGGAAGGGGGGCAGCTGCCCTCCCCCCGGACCTGTTGAGCCACGGACAAATCAAGTTTTTGGATGGATTTCTTTTCTTTAGACTCAGTTATTTTGATTATAGTGACTTGAAAGTGTTTGCCATTTTCATATTCGATTCGAGGTCGATTTTTCGGAGACATATCTCATGACAAGTGCTGAAAATTACGTTTCGGAGCCTCCAAATTTGAAAATTTCCTGGGGGACGATATCCCCAGAGCCCCCTACAAGGCTCGTGTCTTCTGCACTCGCGAAAATGCCCCCGTTACAAAAAATTTAGCTACGGCCCTGCTTAGTCTATTGAACGGTCGTCAGGTCACTTTTTCAAAGGCTCCATCGAGTTTAGCAGCGAATGGCTTCACCTCTGGTCACTGTTGTTGCACCGGTGCATCAGATATCTATTTTAATATCTAGTTTACTGTTCAAAAGTATATTTAATGAACACCCTAGTTTTAGCTTCTTAGATTTTAGATTTTAGTTCTGTAAATTTTATTTAATTAGTTAATTGTGTCTGAAAAGCCCTGTAAAGGGAGACTCAATAAAACGTATGTATGTATGTCTGTATGTATTAATAATAACAGGATCCGGAGTTCAAGCTTCAGGAGTAATCATTGTTCGTTTATTGCGACAGTGCTGTTTCGTATGGTCCGAAATTGTAGGACCACACTCATTCGGCAACTTCAACGATTGACCGTTAAAATTAAAAGCTGGCAGTAAAATTTGGGTGGTTGTTATAGGGATGCGTTAAAAGATGGTATCTAGGTAACAGATGGATTTTGTCTTAGTTACGTTACTCTAGAGTTCTGAATTACATATCTGTTTCTTTGGGGGCATGAACTCGCTAGTTCGTTTCGCCTGTTTAGGCTACAAAGCTCTTTTTTACAAATGATGATGAACTTTTCATAAAGACAAAGATTACATTTTTTGCTAATGTTGCTATAGGGTTTACATTGCTTTAAACTTTCCGTTTTATCTGGATAGGTTTCTTAGAGTCTTGTAAAGTCCAAATATATTTTGAGAGTTCCGTTTCATTTCTTCTGTTCGAACGTCGAAAGGAGGACTGATGGTTTCTGTAACGTTCCTTGAAGTTTGTTCCTTAAAGTTTGATATGTGTGTATGTATTTATGTATGTATAATGGCTATTTTGCTAAGTCACCATCTTCCTCTTTTTGATTTTCCTGATCGAGTTGTCAAACCTGTATTATATTAAGCGGTCATTTGGCCCCGAGGGTGACCGTTAATGGTCTTTTCTACATATCCGTTAGGGATAACTTTGCCAAAAATAATGCACTTGTGTATATTAATACTGATTTTGTATGTCAACAACTCAACAATGACAAAATTCGATGCTATAAGTTCCAAAGAAAGTCCGATTCTGAACAGTCTCCAAGATATGGAATTCTCATTACACCATTTAGTGTCGGTTGTTCTTTTTCAGATTTAGAAGACTCCGTTATCGTGGGAAAGAGCAAAAATCATTTGAGAAGTTTAAGGAGTTGGCTATCCCCTGTAGCACGAAGCGTGAAATCTGCCTGGAAGCGCTGTTGGCGTGCATCCGCGGACGGCTGGGCTGCAAGTACATTTCACTCACGATGTGACAGCAAGGGCCCGACTGTCACAATAATAAGGGTCGGGAGATATATTTTCGGAGGATACACAAGTATTTCATGGGGTAAGTGAGCATATAAGCAATGGCAGTGGCATTTATACCTTTGGCGTAATTGGCATTGATATGTTCAGCTAAACGTGGAGCTTGGTACTTAGCAATATGGAATCACGTAACTCTACCTTTCATACATGGTTAAGCAGTGGCGGACAAAGGTTCTAGGTTAATAGCTCTAGATGTGGGCCTATATCCCCTCGTTCCTCAAGGGGCAAGGACCGCCCCTCCTACACTGACATGATATGACATGACCCCACTTCTCAAGTTCTGGTTGTGATGCATTTCTAGCCTGTCAAAACGTGCCCAAATTCCAGGCTACTACTATTATAATAATTTTATAAAATATCGATATTGTTCTGACTTTCTTGCCACCCTGCTATCTTCCATCCCTCAGTTCCCACATTGCAAAAGTAGCGACTAACGAACTTCACCACAGGTTTTTGGTGAAATTCGCAAATTTTGGCAAAGAAAAAACACGCTCTTTTGACATGTCCACGTACGTGATACACCAAGACGAAGGTTCATTTCACCGATCAAACTTTCGTAATTTCGCCTGAGCGAAATGTCGGGAAGAGGATTCTTCGCTTCGGATTCGAACGAACTTAATAGACTGAAATGGGTGACAGAAATACATAATGTTTTATACCTTTTCAAGGATAAAGGTTCCTAAAACTCTTTATTGTCTATTTCCTTTATTGTATTCTTAATACAGTACCCTTAAAATCGAACGAAGTATTAATCTACCAATAAAAGTGTATTGCGACATGCACCAGTTCATGTAAAAAGAAGCTTCTGGCTTCGGCAAGTGGTAAAAAAGACAAAAACAGATAAATTTGGAGATTTTGCTCCATAAAGTTATAAGAGAACATATATTATTAATTACTAATTTTTTTTCCCCGATCTATTGCTTGTAATTGCAAACCTTTTAAAATTAACATCTCCCACAGGCCGACACCTCAGGTTCGGTGAGCTTGCAGCCACATAAAACTCTCTCCTGAGCGGACGAACCACGCTTGTCATGAGTATAGCTGTATCTTTTACCAAAGTACCTGCACGTAAATAATAATGCAATAAAATAATATTCATACTAATAATAATGATGAAGATGATGATGATGATGATGATGATGATGATAATAATAATAATATAATTATAATGATAATAATAATATTGATAACAGGGGCGGATCCAGGATTTTTTTCAGGAGGGGGTGCACTCGTCTCTTGCTCTACTTCAACACCAATAAACCACAAAGTTTTTTTTTTGAAGAATACCAGTTGTATTAGAAAACCGCAGGTAATCACAGGGGGGGGGGGNATTTGTTTTATGAGAATAAGGTATTTACTGTTTTTAATTAATAATAACCATCATCATCATCGTCATCATTATGACAGGCACGAGGACAATGTCGCTAACTTATCTTAGAAAACTTTTGTTTCATGTCTTTTAGTTTCTGGTTCTGGCCAGTATCAATACGACTCAAAAGCCTTCTTATTTTCGCTGGTAAACAAGCCAGGATGGGCGCCTGTCAAATTGTCTCAGTCAGGGCAATATAGTTCTAGAAAAAAATCCATATTCTTTTACTCATCCTATGGACCTACATTCGGAGGAGGACATGACATTAACGTCAACAACTACGCGTCATCTGATAGCAATTCTTACAGCGAACTTGGCCATACTTACAGCCCACCGAGCGGATACAGCTACGGCATCACCTTCACAGTAACATTCCTGGCAGGAACTTACAAGTTCACACCAGACGAAGTTGAAACCTTTTACGAAACAACCTAATTAATATAATGCGTGATACCGGCTTTGATATTTGAGCTGAGCTTATTGTACAAGTAGACGCTTAAAGGTGAACTAATCTACAGCACTAAGCAAGCCCCTTATATCTAAATCAAAACACAATCATTAGAACGTATACTACAACATTTTCCAAACAAACGAAAAATAGAATAGTCAAAAAGAGAAATGATTTTGATATCTACAACTGGTCCAACTGCGCTGATCTTTTTTTACCTGGATACGAGATCTGGGGGCAGCTATGCTGTCATCTGTCAGAAAACAGTTACTTCCTTATCTGTCCTCACTGCTTTGTTACCCAATGCGATACCACTAATATTAGTAATCACAAATTAAGATTAGTAATTGCTTAATGCGGCAACACTATCTCATATACAGGAATAGACTGCTTGCAGTCACGTGACGATCACCTTCTAGCAGTGTAGTAATTAAAATTACCAGCGTTGGGTTACTACCTCATGTAAGACCTACGTATAAAATCTGAGGTACATCAGTATCCTTTATGACTGACCTATTATATAAAATAATATTAAATAAAATATACCCCTATAGGAAATTTCTACTGATAATAAATAAATAAAAGATCACGTTTACGGGCTAGCATTAATTGTTAATGTCTAGACAAAAATTAAAATTCAATAAAATTACTCATGTTTGTCACAAAAAGAGAGCTTCATTCTCTCAACGTTGTCAATAATGAGGGTTAATGGTCACGTGGTCAAACTTGTTTCCTTTCCTGTAAACGTTATGTTTGATTTCAGCAATAATTTAAAATATGGTATCTGTTGGAACTTTGACCACGTTTGAGTACAACAGGAGGAAGGTTAACAACCGGCAGAGCAGCCCGGCTCACGTCAATCTAATGTAAGCTAATTTACTACACTTGTTTTTATGGGCTTAAGGAGAAGGATCAGGTTTAACTGTCTTGCAACTTTCCCTCAAACGTGGAGAGACTGTGACAGAAAACAAGAATTGAATTAAATAAATTACTCATGCTCGAATGTTTGTTACAAAAAGAGAAACTTTATTCCCTCCACGTTATCAAAAATGAAGAATAAAGCCAACGGTCACGTGGTCAATCTCTTACGTGATGTTTGATTTCTGATACCGTAAAATTCCGAAAATAAGCCCCTCCATGTATAAGCCCCTCCAAATATAAGCCGCCCAAACTCGTAACGCAAAAAACCCTCCGTTAAATCGCCCCTCCAAATATAAGCCCCCCCGGGGGCTTGTACTTGGAAATTGCCCTCAAATACAAAGTAAAACAAAGAGAAACAGTAAATTTACTTCCAACTATAAGGCTAGCCCAATCAGTTTTGAAACGCAAATTTCCTCCGCACATAAGTCCCGCCACATATAAGCCCCTCCAAAAATAAGCCCCTCAAAAAGGGCCTTTGAAAAGCATAACCCCCGGGGCTTATTTTCGGAATTTTACGGTATTTTAGAATACGGAAATCGTTGGAACTTTGACCACGTTTGAGTGCAACAAGAGAAAAGATACCATCGGCAAAATAGCCCGGCTTACGTCACGTATCTAATGTAAGCTAACACTCTTGTTTTTCTGGGCTAAATCAGAAGCGGATCAGGTTTAACTTGAAACTTTCACTCAAACATCCGTCTTCGAGTGGCTGTGAAAGAAAACGATCGTAAAACTACAAAAATGAAAACCGTAAACTCTTCAAAATCTCAACGAGTCCTTGAGTTTGTTCCGTCAATTAGACCATCGTTCCTTTCGGTGGTATTAGTTTTAGTTTGCGGATGTCTGTGGGTGAAAAATGAAGCAACAAACGAACGACTGATTTCACTGGAATCTCGTGTTTACTGTGTTCCTTGCACTAAGCGTGGCACGATTGATAATCTTGACAGGATGACTTTCTCACCGACAAAAGATATCGCAATAGACCTTTCCAAGAAGATGCAGACACAAGTTTCAGATGATGGGAACGGCTATACCTCAGGTAAAAGGCCTTGTGTGCATTGAGGATGTTTAGACCTGTTTTTATCCTCCCTCGGTTAAGACATAACCTTTCATGACGTGAGTTCGCGTTAACAACACGGGATCTTTTGCAAATCCAAAATAGTATCAGATTTTAACTTAGACTGTATGAAACTGCTTTGTAATGCTCCCTAGATGTCATTAATTATGCCACTGCCACTGATAAAAAACCGATGAGATCTACAGCGTAAATGAAGTTGAATTTATAAATAATGTGTCTACGAGGGCCGAACAAGATTCCTTCACGCTTCAGACACATGTCGATATCATATTACTATACAGCTACAGTAGCTTCATGCATGTGCCTCTGGTTTGAGGTTATTTGGGGTCTCGGAATTGAAAGGTATTGCGTGACCAATTTCAAGCAATAATGACCCAATTTTTGGCAATTCATTTTTAGATTTATCTGTTTGCTTTAGATTGAGCTATTCTCGTTTCGTACTTTCTGGAAAAATGTTCGAATAGTATAGACATTATAGATCAGTATAGACAAAAGGCGCGTTTTAAGAGATTATTCAGTAAATGATATTTCCGTTTCTTTCAAAGGAGTTCAGTCTAATTTGAAAAACCTTGCTTAACCCTTATGGGATTCAAGGGCGATTGAAAGTAGGTGTGTCCCTTATGGGATTACAAGAGCGATTGAAAGTAGGTGTGTTTAAGACCTCAGTTGGCTTAATATTCGTGCGAAGGTCTTAAGGTTCGATTCTTGTTCCTTTATAAGTTACCTTTATCAGAAATTTTAGCCGTATCATTCTTTCGTTCCTTCTTGATCTTGTTCATTTTTACAATTTATCACTGGACAGTGGAACCCAACGAGAACATAGTTCAAAACCTCTTAAACATACAATTGTTGAACGTATATTAGTATTTAAACGGTAGATCTAGGCATATCTTAATCCCCTAAAAATTTTTCATCTGTTCGAGTTTCCTAGCAGAAAGTCTAGTGATTTATAGGGATCAAACTTACCTTTTCGAAAATTTCAGCCAGAAAAAAGGCTCCCGAAAATTTTGGGTGACCTTTTTAGAGTAAAAATCCGTTAAAAATGGGCAATTATACCATTTTTTAGATGTTGGAGAATCCTAGGATAGGTAGGCAAGTAAGAAATTTTACAACAAATGTTCCGAAAATTCTAGATCTCAAATCGTCTTCCGAACAGATATTTTCCGAAAATTGACGTTGGGTGCCCCTGATTGGATAATTCACGGGTATTATCTAATTTTACTTGACTGCAGTCAGCCCGTTGCCAATAAAGGCATCAGCAACCATCCGGTTAAGAAAGCGAAGAAACGTTTCGAACGACACTTTAATTGGCATCACCATACATGAAGTGAGAAAAGAAATCAGCAGACAGTTTGAACAACTTATGCCCACCAAGTACGGTAAGTCAAGTGAGAAGGTATGTCCTGCAGGTCCCCCCGGATATCCTGGTCCCACTGGAGCGAGGGGACCACGTGGCAGGAGGGGACCAAAGGGAAAGAAAGGTCCTCAAGGTCCCATGGGACCTCCTGGAAAATCCGGAAAAACAGGAATAACTGGTCCTGCAGGACCAAGAGGAGAAAAGGGAGATAGAGGAGATCCTGGGCCAAAAGGTGTTTCGGGACCACCTGGAAAGCCTGGAAAATCGATATCTGCCCCACAAGTGATGTTGTCGCCAGCAGAGCAGACACGAGATGAGGGAGGAGACACGGCATTTTATTGCACGGTCGCAGGAAGTCCTTCCCCAGTCGTGGAATGGCAATTTAAGGGCAGAAAGCTTCTGTCAGGTGCAAAGTATTTGATTAAAGAAGAAGAGTTGATCGTTAGAAATTTGAATTACAGCGATGCTGGACCGTACACATGTGCAGCCAGGAACATTCTTGGATCGTCCAAGGCCATTAGTAACTTGACTGTTAGAGGTAAGCGGAACACTGTATTTTTGTTATATCTGGCTGCTTGATTATGTAGGTCTGTTTGTGCTCTGTTGTTTAATCGTGTACTTTTATCTCCTCCTTCTTTTCAATTCATCCATTTTTCGTATTTCGTAGCCACTAGTCACGTTTGAAGTTCAACGTTTAACCTGAGCCATGCAAACGTAAAGATATTTTAAGATAACAGATGACAATCTTCACCATGTACAGCTGTACGCAAAGGCACACAACACGATCCTTCCATCACTGTTCCATTTCTTCATTCAAATTTGTCTTTTTCTTGATCGTTAATTGAACTACCTCAATGCATGACCTTCCTACATGATGAATTCTGAGTTTGTTTCAAGGTGTTTGTTTTAATTAGTCTTGACCTTCAATATCCTACACAACTGGTACAGACCTCACCTATCTTTCTGAATTAATACATTTCTTTTGCTCTCTTTTCGGCTATGTAGTTAAACATTGCTTATAACAACGTTTATCAGTAACGCTTTTAGCGAAATGTGGATTTAAGAGCATGGAGCTTGAAAGGGTTCCCAGAAAAGAAAGGAATATAAGCTGTTTAATTTATTGTGCATCCTGTTTATTTTTCGGCTCTATTTAAGGTCTTCCAATCTTCACAAAAGTTCCACCCTCAATTGCCACACCAGTACAAGGTTCTACGTTTCAAGTAACTTGTCAAGCTGAGGGATATCCTCGCCCCGAAATAAACTGGACTAGAGCAGCAATGCCTTTACATGCTGGAAGGACAAGTATAAACCAAGGCACATTTACCATTAACAACTTGAGTCCTGATGACAGCGGTTTTTATGAATGCGTGGCTACTAATATTATGGGAACAAAGAAAACAAGAATCAACGTGGCAGTGCAAGTGCGTCGCTTAATAGGTTTGTATTGCAGGCACCGCAGATATCTAATTCAGTCAAAGGTTGCTTTGAGAGTTGGACATTGGCGCAATTGGCCCTGAGCATTTGGGCATACGAAACTCACTGCAATGACTTGCTTAAGTGACCGCCAAATAATAGTATAGGTTGCCGAGAGCTTAATTGCCCAATGCCCAAAGCAGTCCCCTTGATTGAACAAGGTATGAATAGATTATACATTCAGTTTAATGCCAGTCGTCTAATCCATAAACCATTGCGACCTTTGTTACACATCTAAGATGCATTACAAAGATGTGTTATAGGTAACTGTCCATCTAGTTAGAGTCCTCTGAACTGTACCTTAAGAGTCAACAAAAGGCCCCCTTCTCTTTTTGATCTACATAATGATCTTCCAAACTGTTTGAATAATGGTTCTCCTTGAATGTACGCGGACGACACTAACGTTACCTTTTCTGCTCCCATGCAGCATACCTGATCTCGAATTACAGATCAATGCTTAAATGAAACATAATGAACTCTGGCTAAAAGCTAACAAATTAAGTCTCAATGTCGCCAAAACAGAGTCCATGATTATTAGCTCGGGGCAGAACCTACAATCTACAATCTTTAAATGACTACATGAAGATGGCGTCCAAGTAAAACCAAACAACTCATAGCAAATCTATTGGGCTTACGGACGATAATCTCTCTTGGAAGGCCCATCAACATGACATTTCCAAAAAAGCCTCTTCAAACATTGGTGCGCTTAAGCAAGTCGAGCCATTTGTTTCTATGCACACTGAAGTTATGATATGCAAAGGTCTTATTGAACCACGCTTTTATTACTGTAAAGCGGTCTGAGGTGGCTTGTGTTACCGTGGTGCTTACTTATGGCACAATCTTCCCGAGGATGTACGTACGCAGAGCAAATTCTCTAGATCAGATGACTTTGAGGGAAAATTCACTCTCGGTTTGCTGATCATGCTCCCACACGGCAATTATGTAAAACAGTTTATAGAATTTATTCATTTTCTATTATTATATACGAATATTTTAAC